CTGTGGATATAAAGATCAGAGCATTCCTCACTGCATTGAACTGCAGACAGCGCTCCGTTCATTCCTGACGTTTAAATTAATAAAAGCTTCCTGGATGGAAGAGAAAAGTCTTCAAACTTGGAAATAAAGTCCAGTGGATTGTTTTTTTTTTTAGTAATTCTTTTTTGAATATTAATATATTTAAATACTTAAAAGAAGAATCAGGGGGAAAGCCTTACCTAAACCCTAACCTTATTTACCTGTAATGGATCAGCTCTACCACCAACGCTGCATAGATTGGCAGTGAGAGGTTGAGAGTTTGAATCCTTTGCTTTGCTCAAATACCACCTGGTTCAGGATGGAGTTTGTTGGAATTATTGAAACTTCAGTTAGATGTACTTTGCATAGATTTTAAACAGGATTTAACCGTCATCTATGTGAATATTAATCTTTCCTGGTCAGTTTAGCCGAGCTTAAACCAGAGGTGCAGCAGCTGCTGGGTGAGCTAACGAGCTAACGAGCTGCTCTGCCTGCAGGTCTCATCCTGGTCAACGAGCCGTACTATAACGAGGCCGGCTTCGACAGCGACCGCGGCCTGCAGGAGGGCTACGAGAACAGCCGCTGCTACAACGAGATGGCGCTGATCAAGATGGTGCAGTCCATGACGCAGCTCCTGCAGAACCCCGTGGAGGTCTTCAGGCAGGAGATCCACGAGCACTTTATGTCCAACGGCTGGCGGCTGGTGCACCGGCTGGAGGCGTGGCTGGAGCTCAACGATTCCTCCGAGGGCGGCCACCCCTCCGCCAGGAGCCACCACTCCAAGGACGAGCAGCTGCCCCCCGGTTCGCGGCTGGTGGCGGTGGCCCACAGCAGCCCCAGCAAACCCGGCGAGGAGGGGGTGCCGGGAGTTAGCAGTATTCTGGAGGAGGAGCTGGAGGACTCAGGGCTGAGTCCCTCCACCACAGCGGCTCCTCTGCAGGAGCTGAGCCAGAACTCAGACTGCGATGGTTCTCAGGGGAGCGCCCCTCCGGGCGGAGATAAAGCCGCCTCCTTGGGTCCTGGGTCCGTGATCCGCAGCGTTGCCACAGATTCAGGTCCCGGCGCAGCTGGCAGCTCCTCGGGGGGCCAGCCTGTGGTGCGACCAAAGAAAAGGAGAAAGAGCTACCGCAGTTTTCTCCCAGAGGGCAGCGGATACCCAGACCTGGGCTTTCCGCTCTTCCCGCTCTCCAAGGGCTTCGTGAAGAGCGTCAAAGGCGTCCTGCAGCAGTACCGCGCCGCACTGGCCGCCGCCGGCGTCCCTGAGCGCCCAGAGGACAAGTAAGTGCCTCCCCACCGTCACTCTGACACACACCTGCACTGCTCCTCCCCTCTTTCACCTCCTCAAGTCTAGGAGGGGGTCTGTCTCCTGCATCCGGCCCTCCTCAGCAGCACCTCCCACCCCAGAACCGGAGCAGAACCTGATGACTCCGCCTCATTAACGTGCTTTCCTTTCCTTCAGTTACGCCTCAGATGAGTGATGCCTAACACCCCCTCCCCCCCTCCTCCTCTGAGAGCAGGTCAGACCAACCAGAGCTGCTCTGACTGACCTTTCACTGCAGCTCTCTGTAGCACCATCATGGAGGACGCCGCCGTCCCGCCTGGGAACAGAACGCGCAGCGTTCGCCGGATGGAAGCCGCCTGCCAAACTTTCCCAGGAGAAAAAACTGCCAGCCGATGCCGCTTTCCTCGCCCTCACGTTTACACACGCACCTCCTTCGCGGGGACGCCTCCTCCTGCAGGAGTGAAAACCCAGGAGTGCAGGAGCTTCATGCTTTGGTTTTAGGGGTGTTTTATTTTTTGTTTGGTTTGTTTTTTTTCTTGAAGCTAAAGTTTTCTGATGGAGCTGATCTGTTCATCATCTCACGTCGACACATCGCCTTACTTGAATAGTTCCTGACGACCTCAGAGCCGCCGGTGTCGCCGCCACTCAAACGTAAAATCTTCCCGCTGCATTTCCTCAGTGTTTGATTCGCCGTCTAAGACTCGTCGCTTTGCTGCAGAATGTGTTGAGGACTCACCTGTGGGTGCTTCCTGTGGGGGGGCATCAGCAGTCTTTGTTTACATCTTTTTGGATGACATCTTCCATCGGACTCGTAACCTCCCCCCCTCCCCTGTGATCAGTAAGGAACCGCGCTCGCTATGACCCGACCAGAGAGCGACGGCCCTCTGATGACATACTTGAAAAACGGACTTTGATGCTGAAAAGTGTTTTTGATAAAGAGCACACTGTGCCATTCTGGACCTCCTAGAAGAACTACGAGCTGCTGCGTTTTAAAGCGAATAAAAAAAGATGAATGATTGAGTGTTTTTGTTTTTTCCTGTGTGGTTTTTTTCCCTCAGTGTCCCTTAAACCCCCCCCCCCCCTCCATGTGTCCTTGTCCTCTCAGGATCTGACTTTATCCTTGGTCTGCCTGTAACGCTGAGCGAGCGGCCATATTGGAGCCTTTCTTTCCTTTCTCCATCGCTGCCGATCATATCAAAGGAAAAAAAAACATCTAGAAAAGCTGGATCTAGACTTTTCAACCTCCACCAAACAGAAAATGTGAAGCCGGCAGAACATGCAGCCTGTGAAGACTTTAACCCATTCTTCTTATTTTCCCTGCAAGCAGTTTGATTTTTCCAGCCAAAGCATGTTAACATGTTGCTTTAAGGCCCTTTTTTTCAAACGGGCTCCACCAAGAACTCGACTGTACGATGTCTGCATTTCCACAGTGGCCTGTTGATATATATAAAAAAAAGAAGTAATAAAGTTATCGTTTGTAGCCTGATTCTCTCTGTACAGACATCATAACTCTATTGAAATATACAGGTGCATACAGAATATATTTAACACAACCTTTGGTTCTGATGAGTCACTCGGATGCTGGGGGGTGTGTGTACATACTGCTGAGTTTACTGTACTCAACATTTCTCTTTTTTTTAATGGTTTACTTTGTTGCTTTAAAACTGACTGTATAGTGATGTATTAAACTTTGCAAGCAGTAACGTTAAAATGTTGTTGACTTTTGTTTGTTTGCATCTGCGGCGTGGTTTATATTTTCATGGAGACCTGTGGATGTGTCGCACGAAGGACCGGCCGTTCATCAACAGGTTCACTTCATGTAGAAAATCCTCCTCCTGTTGGAGGAGATCTGCAGCATGTTGCTAAAGTAGAAACACTCCAGGAAGATTTTTAAAGGTCTTATTATGGCTGCAGATTTAATGATAAATTGTTTGCACACTCTACATTAAAGGAATAGTACACCCAAAACATGATTAGCCTTCATTTTCTACTCACCCCCATGCTGAACAACACTCTGGAGTACTTTTTTGATATC